ACTAATTATAGATTTATAAAGTCTATATCTTAAAATTCTAAACCCTAAAAAATGTTTTGACACCTAAAACCCCATAAACACTCAAAACTAAACCATAATAGAACATAATTAACCCAAACATAAATAATATAAAGAAAAAATAATTTTACAAAAGTGGCATTTTTGTAAAGATTTCAAAAATGTGGCATTTTTGTAAAGTGGCACTTGAAAAGTGACATTTTTTGAAATTTCTCAAAAATGAACGTGTTTCCGTACTATATAAAAATTTATATACTATATCATTTAAATGAATGAATTATATAATAATTTGAATAAGTACAAAATTTGTATACTATATTATTTGAACTAAAGATCCAAAATAATCAAACTAATTAACCAAAACTTACTAAAAATAATTATTTTTTTATGTATTTTATATTTTTTTAAATGATTAACGGATTTTTGTGACATAGTATTTGATCTAATATTGTTTCCAGAGTTTTCGTTTTAGACATGGAAATCAAATTTTAGAACGTTCAAAATAAGTTGAATTAAAAACAATGAGATAAAGTTGAATGGGATAAGTTTGAATTATGCTTGTATATATTCGAATTCATGATTATTTTGTATGAAAATGAATGTGTTTCTATACTATATCATTAAAATGAATGAATTATATAATAATTTGAATAAGTATAAAATTTGTATATTATATTATCCGAACTAAACGTTGATTATATGTCTATCCAAAATAATCAAACTAATAAAAATTACTAAAAATAATTACTTTATATGTATCTTATATTCTTAAATTTGATTAACGGGTTTTTATGATATAGTATTTGATCTAATATTGCTTTCAGAGTTTTAGTTTTATGGTGGTAGTCATTTTTGGAATGCTCAGAATAAGATGAATTAAAAGCAATGGAATAAAGTTGGATGGGATAACGGAAGTTAGATGAATAAAATAAATAGTATGAATAATCGCATACAATTTATTGTGTAAGTTAAATGGTGGAAATAGAATGGAAAGCAAAATATATGCGATTAAAATTAAATAATAGTATATAAAAATCAAAGATGTATATAACACTAACATATATGTTATTAAGAAAATCCAAGAAACGATGTTGACATAGAAACCTAATTTTATTAACATACAAATGTATTTGATAAGTT